TTAAACCTGTAAGAGGCTGATTCTAAGAGCAACTAAATATGCTTGCAGAGACACGGTTGCTTTAAAATAATCATTGTGATTCTGTGTGCATTATATAACTATCTCTTGTTATGCAAACCACTCAGTAATGTAACTAAAAATATTTTTACTTTTTTTCCACTCTGATTGTTAAGACCCCAGAACATTACATTGTTTATTCCAGCTTTTATTTCACTGTTATATTGTCTGATTCTTTTGTACCTAGCCAAGTTGCTTTCAGAAAGACTGTTTACAGGCAGATTACCCATGCAATTTGAGAGGTTAAGTAATAGGAGTCCTCTTTAATACTTAAAATGGAACAAATCAAAAAATGCAAGATTTTTGATACGAAAGGAGGAGATTTTGGGTAGGTTTTCAATATTTTGGATTTTTCTTTTTCTTGCTTTTATTATTAAGTTGATGATACTCAGGTTTTATTTACATTTGCAGAACCCAGCAAGACTGGATGAAATTTTGTGCATATAATAAAAGTAGATTTTGTGGTAATAATACATGATCTGTTTTAGAGGAATATAATCAAGGTTGCTTGGCAGGAGCAGAGTGCATTGTCCCAGTAGTACAGCCAGATGAATTCTGTTAGAAGTTTGTAGTAGTTACCTTTAGTATTTGGTTTTGGCCTGTTTGTTCATGCTCAGGCAACATTTGCGACCAGCAAAAGACAGAGCACTGGGCAATGTGATGTCCTGTTGCCAGAAAGTCTCCTTTTTCTAAGAGAATTCCTTTTGCTATCAGAAAATCAAGTCTCCCTTCTTGCTGCTTATCAAAGTCATTGGGATCAGTCTGCAAGAAGGCAATGACGATTTTTGCAGATGTCACAATAGTTTACTGTTCACTTTCTAAGCTAAGATGGAAGAATGTAATGTTTGTGTTGAATGAAAAATGTTTTGACTAAAAACACTTACTAATTTTTTTTTCTTGTCAGAGCAAACCTGTGATGGCATTTGGACTCTTTGCAGTTACCGTCTGTGTGGCCTACCTTGGTTATTTGCATGCAACAGTAGAGAATAAAAAGGACCTCTATGAAGCAATTGACAGTGAGGGGTCGAGGTATATGAGGAGGAAAACTTCCAAGTGGGACTGAGAACGTAAGGAAGGAAATCAGCAAATCAGTCACAGAACTTTTCAAGGCAACTACTATTTTTTTTTCTCTGTCCATTGAAATAATGGATAAACGTCTCTCTTGCTATTTAATCCAATTTAAGTTCCTTTATAAAATGCTGTGCCTGTACAAATAAATTGCAATTAAGATACACGCAAACATAAAAGTGATTTTAAGAATTGTTTGCGATCTCCACAGTGTGTCAGAAGACATGAAATTACCTCAGACCTGCAGTCAAGACTGGTGAATGCCTTAGAAATTTATGTGATAGTTCCGCTCAGTTCTCTCTTTGCTTGCTTTGAGTGAAAACAGGTTTGTCTTTTATTTTTTAAACAGAAAGCAGAATGCATTGTGTGTGAAAAGAAAAAGTTGATCTGTTGCAAGTTGATAATTAACAGTGATGCAAGTAAAATAGTTTTAAGGCAAGAAAGATCTGATAAAGCAGTCATTGAGGGTTTTATTTAATAAAGGAATTTGTAAAATACTGACCAAATTAATCCTTGGATGCTAATATACTCTTCCTTAGAAATGAAAAAAAAATAAATCAGTAGCTAGGTAGAGGAGAAAAAATGAAATGAGTGCTTCTGCCAAGAGAAAGGCAGGAAGAACTCAGCTGTTACATTTCCTGTTTGGCATCATATAGCAGATGAGTGAACACGCCAGTGTCAGCTTGCCAATCCGTAACACCATGTTAGCCAGAGCCTGTGTAGTGTTCTTGTCTAGTCAGCAGGACTAGTTTATTTAAGCTGCGTTCAAAAATTTAATTTCTCTATATTGCAAAGTACATGATATGATATTAGTTTATTATAGGCTACTGAACTCAAAATAAGGAATGGAAAGCCTAATATCACCAGATTCTTACAGAGAAAAGAACGGATCCACCTGGACAAGCACAGCCTTGCCGAACAGCCCCGCGTGCGGGTTTGAGGTACCCATTAGCAGTATGCTGGTCGGTGCCGCTGTGAGTGTGGCTGGAGGGTGGGTGGGCCTTGTGGCGTTCCCTGAGCCTGTACCTTGAGCAAACTGCACAGGGGGGTGCTTTCCTGTTCCCAGTGCTGAGGCTTTCTCCTGTGAGCTTCTCCAGCTGCTTCTGTGTGCCTGACATTTCCTGGGTGGTATCCTGTTAACCAAACTCCAGAACATGTGACGGGAGGGCGCATACCGGGCCATGCCCTTTTTCCACCACGGACTGTTATTGCTGTTCTGGTTGTGGTTTTCCATTCAGCTCCATATGTTTACAGCCCAATCAAGGGCTCCCAGGTAGCTGAGAGACTTCTTTATTAACTCTCTTCTAGCCAAGGTGGCTTCTGTCAGGGCAAAGAAAAAAGAACATGCAGGGACATCTGCTTTGCCACTCTGGGAATTGCTTTGGGTTTTGTTATCGAAAGATTTTGTTACTGAAGATAAAAAAGGTGACTGCCTTGAGGGACAGCAGTTGCTCTATGGGATTTCTCTGTATCTCCCTCTAAATCCTTCACTTTGAACCTGTGATCTTCCTGCTGTTCGCGTTTTACCTGTATCCTAAATTCAGCTGGGCCTTGGTTTGGCTACCTTCTTCCTGAGAAGGGAAGTGAGCTCTGCCTTTGATAAAGCTATAAAAAATAGCATTTTTACAGCCTTTAAAAGCATATTACCCTCTGTGAGCCTAGCTGCCTTACAACAGCAAGGTCCTGGGCAAATCTGAAAGCTTACAAGTGAGGAAACTACTTGGCCTTTGATTGGTGAGGGAATTTCCAGGTGCATTGATCAGATATTCAGAACTACCACAAGCTGTGCATGTCCTGCAGAATATGTTTTGTTTGATAGGGTGCGATGGATCTTTAGAATTAATCTGTTCTTTTAAAAAGGATCATACAGGATTTTGGCTCTCTTCAGTTCATTAAAATGCATGAGTCTCATATATTTGCCTGAATTTAACTAAATTATTCCAAATCAGTGCTACAGTAAGCATTTTAACTTGTTTTTCTGCAGCCTTTTAAAACATTCACTTTGATCCTTCTACCTGTGATGATTCCAAGTGAGAAAGCCCAGTCTCTCATTTTCACCTATTTGGGAATAATGCAGGATTTGGGTTCTCAACATTTTGAATTATGTTTTGTGAAGTGAATATGGATCTGGAAGTTACTGGGGGAAAGGAAGCAGGAGAGAGAGGGGTCAGAGATAAAGGTGTGGGACTGCCCTGGGCAGAGTGCCGGCGATATGCATGCCAGCGGCACTTCATAGAAAAGCTGTCTGAGATGGGGCCTCTTACCTGTTGGCTGGCGTCAAGTCCTGTTACCCAGGTTAATTTAGAACTGCCCAGGCTGAAGGAAGAGTGAGTATTTCAACTTGTCCTCATTACTAAGGAGCTCCTCCATATTTACTTGTGGCAGCTGCTGTACAGGTAACTGAATGCTACAAAAATTATATATAGAAAGGAGATAAAGCAGCACCAATACTGAGAAGAATGTTGTAAACTGATGTGTGTTACAGTATCAATACTGGCATTTTCTCTGTTAAGTATCTGATTTATATCATAAAAACTATGTGTGTATATGGATTAAAGGGGGAAAAAAACCACCCAAACAAAATAACATCTGTAACATCTGTAACAAAATTTGTTCACTCAATTCTGAAAGCACGGCTCCCCGTATATATCTGGAGGATAAGCAGACAGCACCAGTACAATTTTTTTTGTTCCGCTTTTCTCAATTTCATCTTCAATATAGTAATAATTATCTACAATGGATGATACCTGGCTTGACAGGAGCTGTGAGTCAAAATGATTTCCCGGGCAGAGGCTCTTTCAGGTTTTTGCCAATTCCTTACTGTCTGTGCTGGCTTTCACATCTTTAACAAGAACAGCCATAGAATGCTATGATTCAAATATCTGAAACAGTAGCTATTGTACTGCTCCTAAAATCTCCTTAGACTACATGGTTTGAATAGGAATTGTTGACATTCAACAACAACAAAATGCATTAGAAAGCCAAAGCCTGGTGTGACTCTCCTTAACTATTACCAGGGACAGTTAGTTCCTTGTGAGCAAAGCCAGCCCTGCACAGTAATGGTTGCTATGTAGGGAGCTTTATTAGGGTTGGAAGGGGTCACTTCATAAAACCCTCCCTCATCATCTGCCTACAGCGTGTTACCGAGTTGTCAGTGTGTGTGAATCCTGATCTGAAGGCAAACATTTTGGCTAACTTGGTAAAAAGTAATGGTCAATGATTTTTCTCTTTTCACTGGCTTGAATGTTTTCTGTAGCAGCAATAAGTGTTTTGCCTGCAAGCAAGAGATCTACTAGGAATAGAGTTCTGACATTTCAGTAACTGTATTACAGAAAAATACCAGAACACCACAATGATTAGAAGTCCCGATCTGGACTCCTTTGTTTGTTGTGCTGTATGTTCAAAAACAATACCACCACCACCTTCCAACGCTACTTTTGATCGGATTCAGGAGTATAAGCCTTTCAGAACACGGTATTATACTCATCGTGATATACTGGGTAAGTTTGTTTTTGAAATCATTTCCTCGCAATCTGAGATTTAGGAAAACTCCAAGATGTGTTGTATCCATCTGTTCTTGATGGTCATGCAGGCATTCACATCTTGGTAAGACAGAACTGCACTTACCTTCTGAATATTAATAAGCCCAATATATTCAGAAAGGGGAAAGGGTCAGCTGTTCTGTCGTGCATGAAGGCATTCAGATTTAGGCATAATGAAGTGCAAAAGAGAATTTGCTGTAAGACTGTTAGCAAATGTTTTGTAAGGCTACGGTAGTTTGGGAAGAACTATGCTTGACTTAAGATTTGCAAAGATTATCCCCTCATCCTTCAGCAGGCCACAGCTGGGATGTTTTATCCTGAATCCTACCTTCTTATACCTGCTTCTGGCTGCTGAGGTTAGATTGAGGCTCTGTAGAGCCTCTTGAGGTTTGATTATTTTATTTTCTGGCACACCACAATCATAACCTCAATGACAAAGGCAGGCATATGGTAGCACTCATATGTTTGAGGATCTAGCAAGAATCTGAAGTATCTTTATATGCTACACCTAATCGTCATAGAGGTTTCTGCTCAGCAGTGTAAAGTTTTGTAGAAACCATGTTGTCCATTTTAATTAATGTGCATTGCGAAGAGGAGTGTGCTTGGTTTCTATTTTAAACAATATCAAGAGATTGTCAGCGTACTGAGAGCCCTGGCAGCAGGGTGGGTGCTGTGCATGTCTCAGAACATGAGGCTTCAGCCCTGTGTTAACACACATGATCTAAAACATGTCCAGAAGACCAGAGACAGTCCTTTTTAAATTATTTTCTCTTTACTGCTTAATATAATGGACTACAGAAAAACTATGCAGAGCACAACATACTTGCTAAGATTCATGCACCGTTGGACTTCTGTTTTGCCAGTGTAAATCAGTTGACCCCTTTGTCCCATCCTGCTACTGTTTTCTGTGTACTTTGTGTTACCTCCATGAGAGGACTCTGCCCACCCATGTGGATTGGGGAAGAAGACTGGAGTGAAAGGGGGAGACTTAATCCTCCAGTGGCTGTTTGAAAGCTAGATCTCCTGTGGCTCTATTCCTTCTTCATTTTCCTTTATAATAACCCAGGAAAGTGTGACTCTCTGGCCCTGTCAAGCACAGAGAATGGGATCCAAAGCAATGCCCAGGCTTGGCACTGAGCCGGAAAGGTGGAGGGGGAGGATCTGAAATCCTGCTGTTGGGGGGTGTGCAGGTTTGGGTTGCAGGAAGGTGTCTTCATCTACCTCCCTCTGCAGTGTCTTCTGGGCAATCCTTAGTGCTGAAGACCAGCCTTTCAAACGAGTTAGCTGGGCTCCCTGTTTGCTTTCACAGCATGTCCACAGGAGGAGGTGGTGATGCTAATGTCTTACTGGGACCTCATCCGTGTTGCTAAAGAGAACATCCCTGGCCTAGGCCCTGTGACGTGGTGGGGCTCACCTCCATGCTGTTTCGCTTCCCCCTTCTAGAAGGGATTAGCTGTGCTCCTCCAGCGCTGGGGCTGCCTGAGCCCTGGACAGACACAGCAGCCCTAGAGACAGAGGAATTGCTTCGTATGTGCTTGCTCTGTTCCAAACACCTGAAATATTCTGCCATATCCCCCTGAGAATATTCATTGTGTGCCCCAAGAGCGGCATGAAGGAATCTGAGGGCACCTTGGGGCAAGAGACCTTGCTGAAAGCCTTGGAGGACTCTGAAGGCACAGGGAGCCAAAGAGGGTACTGTCTCACCTGTAGCATCTGAAGGGAGCAAAGGCATCCCCTGAGCTCCTGCAAGGTTTGGTCGCAGACAGAAATGGCTGAGTCATTCCCAAGAAAGCTGAGGACTGACCTATTGCTTGTGCCGTGTAGATCGCTGTCAGGTCAAGGAGCTAGGGGGGACACTTGTGATGCTCTCCTGTTGAGTAACCTTGCCTAGAAGGTGAGAGTTGGGCTCAGCACCTTCCTATTGCCTTTACGGAACTGCACAAGCAATAGTAATTGTGTTTTCCTATATGTGAAATGAGGGTGTGTGTTTTTTAGCCTTTTCATTTTTAAATCGGCTGCGAAGCCAAGCAAAGAGGTTGGGAGCAGAGAGGCATGGGTTTCTGCACTCTGCTGGTTTGCTGTGCATGATCTGCTTGTGTTGATTGTGCAGAGATTGGAGCAGACATTCAACGAGAACAACATGAAAAGAAGGAGGCAGAGATATAAGAGCGCATTGAAAAAATGAAAACTGAACTTTGGTCTGAGGTAAATTAAATTATACTCCTGTCATCTAAATGATGATTATTCTTTGGAATAATTGCTATAGTATAAAGACAGTTAATAAAGAACTTTGAGGTCACTGCTATACAGTTGTCATCAATTTCAGCTCCTCCTTTGTTCACAGATTTCTGTGTGCACATATTTCTCCAGTTCCTGATCACAACAAAGGATACTTTGAATTAATAACAAAATTTGCGTCTGGTCTGAAAATGGCCTCTAAGGCACACAGAAGTTATTAGTTGTTAAAGCTGTTCCCCATAGTGCTATGGAAGATTCTAAAACTGCCCTTTATGTTACATATATGTATAGTGCTTACAACTGTGGCGACTCAATCCTATTGTATGGCCACATTTTAACAGGACTCACTGCAATAAAATTGCCAAATAGGCCAAAATGTATTTTGCCATCTGATTTTAAATTTAACTTGCTCTGATTTCTTAAACAGAAAATGCAGAACTATTAGTTATGTAACCTCTGCTTCATCTTAATAGGATGTTAATAGAATGTGAGCAGCTATACTTAATAATAACTTGTTTTAAAGGCTGAAATGCACAAGGAAGATGCAGTGGATAAAGCTCTGAAAGAGGCAGCCGCTAACCACAGTGCATTTGTACAGGACCTTAAACAAAAACTTGGAAAGGAATTAAGGGTATGAACCAGTTTGCTTTCATTACCATGGAAATGGCTAGCATGACAGAACCATGTGTTTGACAACCAAGAATGTCATTCTATGTTAAAAAAATGGTTTTTTTTAATGCTTGCCATAACCAGGACCTTCATTCATCTGAGATTTGAACTCAGATGCCAGGAGAAGCACTTGGCCTGAAAGATGACTTTGTGCAAGACGAGACGTGAACTTGAGCTAACTGGATTTTTAATTCACTTTCAGCACGTTTCACTTTTTTTTTTAATTGAATGAAGTTTGTGGACTTTGTTGAAAATTCCTTGTCAGGCCTTGATTCATCCAGCCACTGAACCTGATTAAGTGCATTTCTTAAGGGCAGTTAAATACGGGCTTAACTTCAAATCTGTCCTGAAGTTTCATGTTCATCAAAGCTAGAAAGGTGTTGAACTGATTTGCTGAACCTGGACCCTAAGTGGGGTGGAGGAGAAGGAAAACTGCCAGCATATGTGTATTCGTAAACGAAGCACACAAACTGTAGCTTTGTATTTCTGTATATGCTTAGCACATGCTTTATATGGCTGTTTGGAGATCTGAGAAAAGACTCAGAGATAGGCAAAGAGAAAGGAAGGCAACTGCCTTCAGGATCTGAGCCTTCCTGCTTTCTGCACTGCTTCACAGAGCTTTTTAACTCTGGAGCATCTGAGCACTCCTCAGTCAGGCTTTATGCAGTCCGTTTAACGCCTGCCATCCTTCATCTTGCAGCCTCCCACTGGCAGATGAAGGGCACACAGAGAATTGCTGGAATGTTTTGCTTTGAAATTTTATTTTATACAAGTTTCTAAATAGCTATCTGTTTATACTGCAGGCAGTCAAAGCAATGTGCTTGGCATCTCGAGAGGAAAAGCAGGGAGGTTTACAGTGGTCTTAAGATTCCAGCAGAGTTTGTTCCATTTTATGGAGCTGTTTTCCAAGGGAGCTCTGTCTTTTGCTGTCATAGCATCTGCCGACAATAGTTGGCAGAAGCTCAGTTCCTTGTGTTTAACCATTCAGTTACTTGCCATAAGCCTATTATATATCTTCATAGACCTGAGTGCTCAGGACGTGAACATGTACCATTTGTCCTGATAGCATTGGCTCCAGTGACAAAGGACTAGGGAGCAGATACAGAATTCTACAGCTGAAACAAGAGGCAGATATAACTAAAGTAATGGCAAGGTGTTTTAGATATTTTTTTTTTCTTGCAGTTCATTTTAAGAGGGGTGTTAACAGTGAACCAACTGCTTACTAGCAGCCAGCTTGGAGAGGTGGTGGCAGAAAATTTACTCAGCATCTGTCTAAGCAAACGGATAGTGGCAGCCAACAAAATATATCATTGAATGAGTGATGGAAGTGGGTTTTTATGTGTCGGATAGGTCAAAGACAACTGCTTTAAGCTGATAGCCTCAGGAATGGCTTTTTGCAGCAGTGCTGATATGGCTGTTCCACAACCACTAATGATTAAATGGTTTTAGTCAGGCTTCTTGTAGGCAGGTCCCATTATTTGTCACTCCACTTGCCAGCAGTAGACAAACAAGCAGTATCCACAAAAATACACAGAATACAGAGCTTGTACGTGCGTGTGCAAGAGATTTACGGCAGACCTCATGCAACTCTGCTCGTTCTGTATTAGAAAACCGACCAAGATCTAAGCAGCCAGAGCTTTCCCAACAGTGTCTTGCCACTTCCACAGTGCGTGCACTTATCAGGGGTCTTGGAAAGAGCTGTGTATGGTGACAAAGCAGCCTAGGTCACTGGGCAGTGAGTTAAGTGGGCTGGATTGCTTTACTGGATGGTCAGGTTTGGCATGGACTATAATGGCAACAGAGGTATATTGGTATATATTGAGTTGTCTGAGATTCCAGATGTATGTGTGTCCACCCAGACCACCTAAGATTTGTGGTGTTATACCTTTTTGTATCAGCCCAAGCAATATCTTGCTGACAAGCATACCAGTGACTGGGCTGCTTCTCCATCTCACTCTAAAACCATGCCGCTGACCGTGTGAGCTTGTGAAGAAAATACATCAGGGAACTTTTTATGCCTTATGTAGAAAACATGGATGATGTAGAATGGTTCTACAATAAGTCACTGTAATTGCCCCGTAATATTTTCCTGAAGTCTATTCTGCTGGTCTTTGCTGGGGATTGTTTAAAGACAACTAAGCAATCAGCTGTTGTCACTACTCACATCTACTTTTAACTTTGCTTAAGGAGGAGGTGAGGAAGGCTGAGGCAGAGATGCAGTAGTACATGGAAGATGAGCGGAAGAGAGAGGCTGAAGCTGCAGAGCAGCACATGGCTCACAGACTTCAGTGTGCCCAGGAGAAGATGCAAGCGGTGGCCAAAGCCAGGAAACAGGAGACGGAGGCGGCCCTGAAGGAAGCAGCCAGGCAGCACAGGTGCTCTTAGTGTTTCCCCTGACTTGCCTGGCAGACATGCTGTGCTAAAGAAAATGACCGGAATTGCATCAGCATTGCTCAGATGCAGGTCTTCTAGGAAAAGATCAATAGACCCTTCAGAAAAAAAATGTATTTGGAAATGTCAAGTGACCAGCAAGAGTTGCAGGCTCACTCTCTCTCTCGCTGACGCCCCATGTAGAAATAAAACATATTTTGTTCCTAAAAGCAAGTATCACAAAGCCAACCAAGGATCCAAAAGTTTTGCTTTTTATGGCTGATTTAGAGTCATCAGAAATAAAGATCTCAAGGGCCTATTGTGCCATTCATAACATCTATGCAAAACTGAAAAAGGTGCGTTCATATGGAGGTCTGCAGGGTGCAGGAGATTTTACCCATATAGATCAAGCGTTGTGAATTAAACAGCTTTGATGTCAAAATAATAATGCACCTCTCTCATAAGAGTAGAATACATTTCATTTTTTGACATCACAAACAACAAATAATGCTGTCACCATGAAAAGATCCGTTCAGGTGTGTTCCTTTGTAAGATGCTGCTTTTTTTTCTGAACAGAATCACACTTATGTTTTGATCCATTATTTAAGACCTTCATTTTCACTCTTAAACATGCCCTTTCTGACAAAGATGAATCACATTCTGCATAAACTTAGCTGGTCTCTTTAACTTCTCATGTTAGCAGAGCTCTGCGAAAACATCTCCAGCAAAGTGGAGGGAGCAATACCAGAGGGCAGAAGTTGTTTTCTCTACATTGAAATAGTTGGCTCAGTAACCTTAATGGATGCCTGATGTACCATTCTTTACTTGTTCCTGAGCCAACTCCGGTGAATAGCACCCATAATGTTTTGACTACATAATATAAATTGCATGTTTTATTACTGATGTGCTAGCACAAGGATGTTCTCAGTACCACTTAAACAAAATTACAGATTAATCTGTAGCCTAGAAATCAGTTCTTAGATTTCACTTCAAGACAGCATTTTTACTTGGGGGCGAAATTGTCCAAAGCCTATTTGAAAATCTGTGTGTACTTAAGTACTAGCTCAAAGGGAGACCTGAATGAAGAGTGAAATAGTAATCCTTTATATTTTTCATTTGGAAGCAAGCATCATTAAATTATCGCTGAATGTGACACATGCAGAAATAGAATCTTCTGCAGCTGCCTTTCTCTGCGTCATCAGTGGCTGCCTTTTACCCTGTTTTGTTTCAGAGGCCCTACATCAAGTTCTGATTTAATGTATATTTATAGTTGAATAAGAGAGGCTTTACAACAGCCTGAATAGACTTAAACTGTTTGTTAAATAAACTTTAAAACAGGTGTTCCCTACAAATCTTTTCTTCTTTTAAATAGAAAGCACTTAGAACAACTCAAAGAAGAAAGTATGTTAGCTGAAGAAAGATATCATAAAAGTATAGAGCAACTAAATAAAGTGTCATGAGATTAATATTGCCCTGAGTATCACACAAAAAGAGAATCAGACTGAGACTGAAAAACAGCTCAAAGAAGCAGAGACCCTACATCTTGATGAGCTGGAAAAAGTGATGGTTATGCTGAAAGCAGCAGAAGAGCAGGTAAAGACTCTTATGCAGAAGATGACAGATTGGAAGGACAACCTGGAAACTGAAATACAAGCGACAAGACAAGCCTTTCAAAAGTATATTGATGCCACATTTCCTAACCTGTCCCCTGGACAAGCAGATTTTATTCTGCCATTCGGAGAAGCATTTCAGCAGAAGGACGCCCCAGAAGAAGCAGAGGATGGTGACAAGGAATATAAAAGAACTAGTATTAAAAGTGTGAGATTCACAGCCATGGGTAAACAGAACTACAAATAGGTTATAAATAGCTGAAAAATAAATTCATCTCTGTTCACTGAATTATATTTGTGTGGTTGGAACGATACAGAGAAAAATAACCACCACTATATTAGGTAATGATGAGCCATGCTTAGAAAGTATGTATTAATTTTTGTTTTGCAAATGCTAGGGCAGAGGTTGGACCATGTAGCACTTGGGGAGCTTCCCACTGAGTCCTTCTTGAGAAGGAAAAAATCTGAAAATCTGATCAGAAAATCTGTCACTAAGTTAAGCATCAGCACTTAGACTGTGAGAACTGTTGGCTCTGCCCTTGAATATTCGGGTGTGGAGTAAGACACAAGCTTTGAACACCTGCAGCTTGGCTTCTGAGATTTACAGGGCAGTTATTCTGTGTAACAGTGTATACGTCTGTCTCGAGTACTTGCAAGTGAGCGTTTACACGATCTGAAAACTCACCTGGCTTGAGAGACAGCTTTTGGGCAAAAAGCATGCAAAATAATTTTCCTGTGGGAGGACTCAAGTTTATCTATTCACACATGGTTGAAGCCTGCGTGGCTTTAGGCCAGCCTCGATACATTGATTGGATCTGAGAGTCAGCCTGCCTAAATATCTGATTTATCTTCACTGTGTAGTAAGACTTCTCACAGCATTGGCTTAATATTCACCAAAGCTTTGTGTCTATCTCATTTGTTACCTGTTAACATGAAAACACTGTTCAGGATGTTGTGTGAGCTGAGGGCTGTAAAGGAGCTAGTGTTACTGTAGGTGATAGAAAGTATAATATGGTGAAGGAAACTCTCCGTAGGCATCTTTTTTAAGAGACCAGTCTGTGCAGCCTTCTTTTCATCATGCTCGAAAACAACCACAGAAAACCAAAAAGCAGAATAATCTCCCAGATATCCATCACTCTACCAAACTAAGAAGTGAAGACAAGTGAAGTCACTGGTTTCTTGTGGAACAGTTTAATTCATATAAAATACTTTGAACAGATATTTGGCATGCTCTGGCACTATTTCTGGCCTAAATGCCTGTAAAACCTTACCTCACTGAATCGTGGAAGCTCTTTCTGTGGAGAGCTGATGCTCCTGACGAAAAGAATCCAGACTTCATGTTCACAGTTGTCTAATCAAATGCATAAACTGCACAGAGCCCAAGATAAAACTCCTGTTTACATCTTAAAAGTTCTTCAGCAGTCTGAAATACTCCATATGCTCTCTAAACCATTTTTTAAAGAAAACATTTACATGTACATTAAGCATAAAAGTCTTTTGAAACTAGAGGAGTAAAATACTGGAACTGAAGTACTAGCAGCTGCATCATGAAATACCTAAATGCTCTCTGTTGGGTTAGCTGATTAAAGGCCCACCTCAGCACACACCGCGGAGCCCGGAAGGCACAGCGACAACTGGGGGAACCCCAACAACCCAGTCAGAGGAATGAGCCTCCAAGCCAGCCCTTCCCAGGGCACCCCAGGAGGGCATCAGCCCCGCGGACTGGGAGTGAGACCCATCACCGTGAGTCAACTGGAGAGGCTTTCTGGAGCACCTTGCAATCTGAGGGTGGATACAGCCTGGAGGTATGGCACTTCTTATGGGATGCAGGGAAGACCATCTTGGGATTGTACGGGGATTGTACAAAGGCTTAT